CAGTGCCTTTGGAATCTGAAACCAGAATAAAAGAATCGGTCATTTCCTCCTACCATGGGTTCACAAACTGGGGGGTTATAAAGAAATTCCAAGGGGGGGGGGCAGCGGCGCGAGGTGACCCAGGTGTCCCCCCACCCCCAGTTTTGCTGCTATTTTTGTTTTGTTTTTCGGCCCCGGTCAGTTCCTGGTCCCTCTCCTCCCCCCAAAGTTTTGCTGCTATTTTGCTGCTATTTTGCGCGAGGGTTTCTCAAATCAAAAAGGGGGTATGATGCTGTAAAGTTTGGGAACCACTGTCCTAGACCAATTCTCAAACCTCCTGAGGAATGCTCTTACCCTATTATGAATACTCTGCACGTGTGCATTCCACCCTGGCCAGAAAAGTTGAACTCTATTTTTAAATGATCCAAATATATCAAGTTGGTAGAAGGATGTCATGTAGGATGAATTACTGGAGACATCAGTAAGGAGAGATTGATCGTCATTTGGGGAGACCTGTGCTAATCAGAAGACATGAACTAGTGCGCTAGCAGAAGAATCTCTGCTTCAGTGTAAAAAAAGTTTGGGTCCCCCTTTACCAATCTGTTATTACAGAGTTGTACATAAAGTCATGAATCCACTGTTAACTCTTCAATGCTGGCAGCTTTTGAAGGACCCGATACAACTTTCCAGGCATCTTCCAAACTCTTGGAAGGATAAGGTCATCACAGTCAAGCACTTGCTGCTATGAACCAGTGAAGCCATGAGATGTTTGATATCCTTGTGTGCAGGCTGCAATTATATAATTACTATGGCCACGTCCAAACAAATTGCAATATATTCTCTCAATGTGGAGCTATTCAGCTGCTATATGAAATTACTCAAACAAGCATTTTCTTATTGTGAGTCCTGATACAAGTATACTATAGAACAAGTAGTCTTTATCTGAAATGCACATGAGATGCTAAAATAATAATGGTCCTGTAGCACCTTAGAGACTACCAAAAATATATAAGGTGCTACAAGATCGTTGTTTAAATGTTTTTGTTACAGACTAACATGGCTACCCCTCTGACACTTTTAAACACGAGATGCTAAAAATGTTTGCACTTAAGCATGCAGCATCAGAGACATTGGCTTAGTCAAAGCTGCTTTATGGGCACACTGCTGTGTTGCTGATCTCATTTGACAAAAGTTCAGTTTGGTTCTATTCCTTTAGAAATAATGCCTTCTTTATGGGACGTAAATGTTTCTAGTATTGTGTGATGGATATCCTTCAATCCAAAGGGAATTTGTGTTGACAGTTCTAGATTTTTAAAGTTTATTTTTGTATCTTAAATTTTTTCACCTAAGGCTTGTTGTGGCGGGATGGTGAAGAATATCAGGCGCTAATCAGCATTTTTTACAATATTTTGCCGTCAGACATTGAAGACTGCATATATTGAGCAGTCACTTCGAAACATATTTGTTTGCAAAAAGTGATCATTATACTCAGTGCGGTTGTGAGATTTGGCACTACTTTGTTTGCAATTACAGCATGTGTGCCTGGCATGATGATCAAGTGACTTGCATATTTTTACTGCATCATTTTTATTGGCCTCAGACATTTTTCAGGTATGGTTGTACTATGTGCACTCATCTGGATTTAATGCTGCTCGATTAACGGAAGCTATAATTGCATGCTGCATGCACAGCCAATGCTTGTCTTCACTGAACAACTAGCTGGGGTTTTCAGACTAATCCTATGATGGCTATAAGAAGGAACGCTATTAGAGTGCTGAAAATATCAGTCTTAGGCAAAAAAAGTATGATTTTTTTTTTTTTGCAAGACCTCTGCACAAGCTTTTCAAGTGGTGACCCAGTGGGAGCCACTGCAATAGACAGACCAAATTACTGTTGAATGTTCCTTATATATGTACAGTTGTATATAGAATCTGCTTTAACAACTCACTAGCTGAGGGTCTGTCATATAGTATGGATGAGCAGGGGAAGGAAAATACATGTGCTGTTGAAGTCTTATCTACAGTTCATGGGTTTTTGATTAAACACTTTCTTAGTGGACCAGTCAGAGTCAAAATTTGATCAGGATAATTTAGTTTAGCTCAGTAGCTAAGAACCTGATTAATCATTTTACTTACCTTGTAGCTTCTTGCAATGCTGGCTCAAATACATGAAATATATAACTGGAAACTGCAGTTAACTCATGTGGTTAACTCACATTAATCTTAATTACAATTAATTGCAGTTTTAATTGCATTATTAAACAGAATATCAACTGAAACGCAGTAAATATTTTGGATGCTTTCTACATTGTCTTCTGTTGTAATTGAAATAATATAATTGACAGTGTGCAGAGCTCACTTTTTATTATGAATATTGGCACTGTAAAGTATTTTTCAGTTCACCTATACAAATACTGTAGCACAGTCTCTTTATCGTGAAAGTTGAACTTGTGAAAGTTGAATCATAAAAAAATTGCACTGAAAATGAAACAGTATAAAACTTTAGAGCCTACAAGTCCACTCAGTTGTCCTACTTGTTCAGTCAGTCACTCTCACCAGCGTGTTTACATTTCAGGAGATAATGCTGTCTGTTTTCTTAGCCTGTTCTTGTTTTCAGATGACTGTTTCTCATGACACTGTTGTAGCTGGTGTCACAAGATATTTACATGCCAGAGGCACTAAAGATATGTCCTGCTTTGACGACCATTCCAGAGGACATACTTGCAGAAAGATGAATTTTATTTTTTGGTGTTTCAGGTTCTGCAGTTTCCGCATTGGAGTTACTCTTATGTAGGGATGTAAAATCCTGTACAAATTTTTCACTGGTTAAGCTACAGGTTTAACTGATTAACTGTCCACAGTGCCATGCCATGCCCCAGGGGGAGGCTGCTCAGGATGCCCGGCCCCTTTCCGTTTGGCACACCGAGAAGGGCCCACTATCCTACAGGCGGAGGGGCTGCTTGGGCCAGGAAGGCCTGACGCGCTTGGTTGGGGGTCTGCTGGACAGGGCATGAATTGTCTGATTAAAACTTTGCACCCTACTTTTAAGGCTTCTGAAAGCTTGCTCCATGTCTCATCCCTCTCAGATTTTAAAAAGTACTTCAGAGTATTAAACTTTGTGTTGACTCATAGAGCTGGAAGAGACCTCAGGAGGTCATCAAGTCTAGCCCCCTGCCCAAGGCAGAACCAATCCCAACTAAACCAGGGCTTCGTCAAGCCAAGACTTAAAAACTTCTAGGGATGGAGATTTCACCATCTCCCTAGGTAACCCATGCCAGTGCTTCACCACCCTCCTAGGAAAATATTTTTCCACCTCTCCCACTGTAACTTGAGACCATTGCTCCTCGTTGTGCCATCCGTCACTACTGTGAACAGCCTTCCTTCATCCTCTTTGGAACCTCCAATCAGGAAGTTGAAGGCTGCTATCAAATCCCCCCTTCACTCTTCTCTTCTGCAGACTAAACAAACCCAAATCCCTCAGTCTCTCCTCATTAGGGGGCTCCTCTCCAGCCCCCTAATCATTTTGGTCGCCTTCCACTAGAATGCGTCCACATCCTTTCTATGGTGGGCGGGGGGGCGGGGGGAGGAGGCAGAATTGGACACAGTACTCCACATGTGGCCTCACCAGAGCTGAATAAAAGGGAATAATCACTTCTCTGGATCTGCTGGCAATGCTCCTCCTAATGCACCCTAATACGCCATTTGCCGCCTTGGCTACAAGGGCACATTGTTGACTCATAACCAGCTTCTCATCCACTGTAATCCCCAGGTCCTTTTCTGCAGAACTGCTACGTAGCCTATCAGTCCCCAGCCTGTAACAATGCTTCGGAATCTACCATCCCAAGTGCAGAACTCTACACTTGTCCTTGTTGCACCCATCAGAATTCTTTTGGCCCAATCCCCTAATCTGTCCAGGTCACTCTGGACCATCTAACTCTCCCCCTAGCTTAGTGTCATCTGCAAACTTGCTGAGGGCACAATCCATCCCCTCATCTAGGTCATTCATAAGATGTTGAACAAAACCGATCCTGGAACAGATCCTTGGG